TGCCATTGGGGTTGGTGCCTTTATATAGGCCTTGCTCATGTACCGCCCCCGAGATCTCCGGGAGGTCGTGTCTAATTGGTTCGAGATCCTCGGAGGTAACTGCCATGCACGTTGACCATCTTCCGAAACGAGGGCCAACCTCCAAGGATCGTGGGATATGCATGTCGAATTTTTCGGTGAGCACGTCTCGTAGGTCGCCAGGTCGGCGCTTGGGCTAGGCCGCCAGGCTGGACACCATCAACTTGGCAAGTTGTTGTCTAAGTGGTTCCGAGTGTCACCTAGTTGTTCTGAGGTATCATGTGTCACAATATCATTGGAGGGCCAAATCCGCCCTCATCATTTGCCCCCCACTCCCGAGCTAAAAGTAACTCGGCGAAGGGAGTAAATTTCTCCTTTTGGCCCGGAATGAAAAATTCGATGAGCTCGTAAGCGTCGATTCAAGTACTTAGGCTCTAGGAGCGACTCGCAGTTCGCTCCTTGATTTTGCTCATGCCGAAGAGGCGACTAGGTCTTATATGGCGAGAAGGTCTTCGCTAGTTCAGTATTTTGGCCCTTAGGCTCTGGGAGCGACTCGTAGTCCACTCTCCTTGATCTTGCCCATGCCGAAGAGGTGACTGGGTCTTATATGGCAATGAGGTCTTCGCTAGTTCGGTATTTTGGCCCTTAGGCACCGGGAGCGACTCGTAGTCCACTCTCCTTGATCTTGCCCATGCCGAAGAGGCGACTGGGTCTTATGTGGTGCTGACGTCTTTGCCAGTTCGGCACTTTAGTGCTATGGCTGCACTGCATCAGCCTCGTGACGTCGGTCACGCACTCCTACAAGAAGCTACTAGGAGCTCGACCTACGGGGGCAGCACTACTGACTTTAGGTCGGCAACTCGCACGGGAGCCTTGGAAAGCTCGACCAGCAAGGGCGTCCATGTAATCTGTTGGCTGCCAACTACCGCGGAAGCCACGAAGAGCTCATCTTTGTAGAGGGGACCTCGCGAAGAGGGTTGATGAGGCTTTATCCAAGTTGAAATAAAGTTGGTAGAGCTGCTTAGTCTGTTAGCTATCAATTTCCTACATAGTCTTTGAGTTCATAAAAAATGCAAACTATAAAGCGAGAGATTTAGTTTCTAAAAAGTGAGGACTTAGCTTTTTGGAAGAAGAGGACTTAGCCTTTTAGAGGATGAGAAAGCTTTTTGTAGCGTTTCCCATAGACGGTGCCAATTGATGAATCAATTTTTATTGATGTATCGATTTTTTGTGCTAAGTACCTCGTCATTTGGTCTGCTTCCAAGGTGGCCAATGACTCAGGCCGAAGTGGAGAACTTTGCCTGGATGAACTGGGCAGGCTAGGTGGCGAGCTGACTATAGTGCCGAGTTGCCTATGAGGTGTCGAGCTGCCTGTGAGGTGCCGGGCTAACCAGGTGGCGAGCTGCCTGTGAGGCGTCGGGCTGACCAGGTGCAGGGAAGCCTATGAGATGTCGGGCTTACTAGGTGGCGAGCTGCTTGTGAGGCACCGGGCTGACCAGGTGCAGGGCAGCCTTAGAGATGTCGAGCTAGATTGACGAGCTTCGTTGCTCTTTAGGGACCTGCAAGGAACCAAATGTCAGAAGACCCGGGGTGGCTAACCCGACGAGGTCGCCCCGATGCTTAAGTCAGTACTCTCATAGTAGACTGCGAGCTAAAAATCACAAAGTCTGAGAACTAGAACTTGCTTACTTGTTTGCCCCACCTTTGCCATTGGGGTTGGTGCCTTTATATAGGCCTTGCTCATGTACTGCCCCCGAGATCTCCGAGAGGTCGTGTCTAACTGGTCTGAAATCCTCAGAGGTAACTGCCATGCACGTTGACCATCTTCCGGAACGAGAGCCAACCTCCAAGGATCACAGGTCGCCAGGTCGGCGCATGTGCCA